TATAAAAAAAAAAAACATTTTTCAAACTTTTCGAAAAAATCGAGATGACTTTTCAGTAATTACGACACTGCTGTTAGCTTCTCATCTTCTATGATTGATTGTACTTTACAGGTCTTGTCTGAAAGTTCTACCTGCGCTGGTGGCTCAATGGCGGACGACGAAGCCGAAATGACAGTGAAGCCCATGCAACCTTTGCTCCGTGGCTACACACCCGGTGCGAGGGCTCTTCAGACGTTGCCGAGCAGAACAACCGCGAGACAGTACACAATTCTTCATTCTTCCTCTCATCATCATGTCGGTCACGATTACGCGGACATCGACGTCGCCTCTGGTTATCTCAGCGACGGGGAGGTTCTTCGTAGCGGCATGAGCGTCGGTAGCAGAACTCTGTCTGACTTGTGCGACGGTTATATGTCCGAGGGCGGTGCTTCCTTGTACGCGCGTAGAATCAATCCATCTTACGGTCACGATCACGAAAGGTAAGTTTCAAGAAACATTCATTTTTCGGGGGTGGGAAGCCTCGAAGTTATCAAAGAAATGTTTCTTGTTCTGGGCTAGTGGACGAAAAGTTGAACAAAAAAAAAATTGAACGATGAAAAGGGGATGTCTACATTTGATCCTTTCAACGTATTTTCCGAACGCGCCTCTCTATAAAAGCAATTCGAGATGAATTAAACTAAGGCTTTCAGAGTTTATTTATTTTTTTATTTTTTCAAGTGTGCGTCTGTGCACTTGATTACTTTGAAACGATTACGAGTGAAATATATTGTGACAAAACAATAAAGTTTTCTATTGAATTTTTAAGAGAACTTATATTTTTATTAATTGAAGATTTATTAATATTATTTATAGAATATAATATGTGATTAAGTCGTAAATGAGCAAATAATTAATGTTTCGAATGAAAAATATTTTTAAGTTAAATAAGCAAATATGTGGGAGAGAGAAATTGGAAATTGAAAATTTAATTTGTTTCTATAGAACGGAAGTATATTCTGATCGGTAAAGATTACCCATTGGAATAATTAAATCTGTTCTTCAATTTAAAAATAAAGATTTAATTAATAAAAATCTATAGATTGATCAATCTACACAAACCGTGAAATCATCGTATTTCTTTTCTTTTAAATTATACTCTATGTATTAGAATTATTTCATCATATTTTTAAATATTTTTTCTGGGGAAAATGCATAAAATCTATATTTAACATTTAGCATTTAACATTCGTACTTCCCGTTTTGCATATTAAAACGGATACAGTATTGAGTTTTAGATTGCTTCTGTTAGCTGGACTTTATTTGTTTGAATATTGAAATATTTATTAATTTCCGGATTGTATATAAACGTTTTTGCAGTCTGTATTGAGTTAGCAGTATCTGTTTATAATAGTTCGAAGTTTATGTGATTTTTATGTATATGTAATCATTTAATTTTTATATTATTTCTTATTATATTCTTTTTGTCGTTTCTTATCTTACCTTGTAAGGTATTTTTAATGCTATTTCGAAAATAGCTTTTAAAAATTAATAAAAAAATAGAAGAAAGTTATAGACAACGATAATCAATAGGTCGACAATTGAAGAAAATGCGAGTATTAGTATAGCGTTTTACGCTGGAAGTTAGCATCAAAAGAACGATATTACTTGAGGGATGACTTGACATTTCTAAACTGCATATAGCTCACATATAATTTATTAATTATACTATATTACATCTAATAATATAGTTCTACATTTATGATAGTATTTTATTCGAAATTTTTGTCCCGTTATTACAATATTTTTCGGAATATTTTTTATTATGTAAAATAAATATTACATAGCAACGTAAATGAATTTTGCTAACACCTATGCGTCTCCCTTAAAGAGCTTATAAACTTTAAGTATAAGCCTCGTTGATCAATACTTCGTTGCTCTCGCGTTTTCCGGGCGGCAAGTTATTTATACCTTTTTAACTAGACTGGTACTGTAATATAATTATTGATATTCATTTGTACGATATTTTTAAATATTGTTAAACAACATACTCCAATATTCGTTAATTTAAGAAACACTAATGTTTCGTAAAAAGTTAGAAAATATTGCCAAAAATGCCTATTATGCGTAAGTAATATTCTTTAAAATCAAAAATTATTTGCAACGAAGAGCATAAATAACAATTTCAAGAAAATCAATTCCTAAAAGATTTTGAAAAACATTTGTGTGTCAACATTTTTGCAGGATATTAATCTATGCAAAAAATTAATTGCAAAAATCGTAGCTTGAAATTTTTTAATTTTATTAGAACATACCGTGACATTAATAGCTAGAATTTGAAGTAAAGTAGACCTGCTACAATAAAAAGGAATTCAAATTACGTAACTGGTTGAGAAGTTACGAGTATTTTCGTCGAAACGTGCTTACTATGCACGATTTTTGCCTTTTATTTTTTCTACTACATTTTGTTGCTTCTTAGCGCACGTGTTTCACCGGCATGGCGAATGAGTCATAGTCTCCACGTGAGCACAAAATACAAATCGTCGGTTTTGCGAGCTCGTGTTGACGTTGAGATTCTCAATTAGTTTTCACTCGCATTTTTCCCTTTTAAAATTAGTTAACGTTCATCTTAATTCAAATTTCTTTATGAAAATAGGAGAGTCATTATTCAAGTTTTCCATATAACATGAGCAAATCATATTACTTGGAAATTAAATTAATAAATTATAATTAATTTCACTAACATATAGAATGTATTATTAAGAAATACATCATTTATATAAAATTTAATGTATCATTATAAGAAAATGAAATATTGAGAACTCTTTATAAATACTTACCATTATAGTTTAAGATTGTAAACTATGTTTTCATAGCAAGAGTTCTTAAAGATACAAGTATGATAAACATGACAAAAAAGATTTTTAATATAACATTACATACAGATTAAAGTATTACACTTAATAATTATTCAGTTATTTAAAATAGTTTATATAGAATGCAATTCAGTAATTAACGGTGCTATTTTAGCAAAGTACTTCTTAATGTTACTTGTTAAATTATTATTTTACCAATTTTAGCGTTTACTAATTTTTCTTGTATAAGAAAGGAGCACAATGAAAGCATCTTGTTTTATATGAAGGTTTTACGACTCCAAAACCTGTACTTTTCTTTACTGCAAAATTAATAGTCTATAAAGTGCATCAGGATATGCAACTTTGTAGTCCTTATTTCTGGATTTTCTTGGCTGAAAGCTTTATACAGGAATCGATATACAACCATCTTTACACATTTATGAGAAAGAGTGTAAACGCAGACTTTATTCCACCTTTTGGAAACTAAAATTATAGATTCAATACGAATTTCACACGAAGTAAATTTGAGAAATTGTTTAAATAATTAGCAAAATTTTTAGTAAATATTTAGTTCATGGATAAAATTTATCTTTATTATTTTTAATTTTAAGTTATTTATTTTTTATATGCTATTTAAATTTCTATTCACAACTCTAATGTAAGTCAACACTAATATTTTTATGTTAAAGTGTCAGATTCTGTTTTCAGAAATTGCGTTTCATTACGATTTAAATCCAATCTGAACAAAAACGTCATATATCTTTTTATATCTAATTAAAGATTATTCTTTCATTAACTCAAACTTTACGTTTCAAATTATTGTTTCTGCGTATCTTACCGCAAAAAGAATTAAAAAAATATATTTTTAGAAATAACTAAAATTCGTGAAATCTGAACGTCTAATGTTTTCTTAATTTAACAATATTTATGATAATTAATGTGGCTTTTTAATTTTATTTCATTTGATATATTAAAAAATATTCAAATCAATTAATACTAATAAAAATTATTTTTCAACTGTATGATATCAAGTGATCCATATTCTCAAAATATAACTTATCTTTTATGCCAAACAAATACTTCTATATGAATCGTACTCTCAAAGAAAAATTAAATAAATTGTGTTCAAATACAGTTACACCTTGTTTTATTAAACTGTTCACTTGTAACTTATATAATTAATACTAAAAGAACAACAGATTATTCAAATCGACTAATTTGCGTGAAATGATAACAACATTTCCTTATCTATGGTTAATATTAAGTTAGTCTGGGATGATTCACTGGGTGAATTCACGATGCCGATGTCTGAATTAGATCTGATGCGATATGCAACGAAGAGAAGTCGCGTCACCAAGTACCAACGGCCTTTAATTAGACGAAATTCGCAAGCCTAATTTCGTACAGGCTCCCAATTACTTTGCTTCGTTTCGCTCGGCTATCTCTGGTTACGTCAGTTACTTCGATTAAATTAAGTAAGCCTTGCTGAGATGCCACCTAATTAACTCGTATATTTCACTTCTCCTATCCCTCTTTTTAAGGAATTCTTCCCGCTGAGTATATTGTCGAGAAATTCTATTAGCACCAGAGAAATCGCTGCGATATTGCTTCGTTGAGAATATTGTTAATTAAAAAGTATCTATTGTCTCGTTTCACTAAAATACAAGTTATTATCAAGACAACGTTATTTATACGTGAATTTCTCTTACTTCTTACTTTATTATTCATCTTTTCTTCATTTTATAAATCCATGTAGACCATATAGTTCATACACTCCGTATATTCCACGTAGACTATGCAGTCCATGTAGTCCATGTAGTTCATATAGTTCATATACCTATATTTACCCGAAGGAGACGAAAATTTCATTTTTATATTGTCGAAGTGAATGGAAGTTAATCTTCAGCGGTGCCTTTCGTGATTTTATAATGACTAAACATACAAAGCTAATCATTTCGAAATAAAATATTTTTCTCGTTTCTTGATACGAGTTTTGTGAGTACATTATGTTTTTAACATAATTCATTGTGATCTTCATTTATCGAAATAAGATTAATATCCATGTCTATATTTCAAAGAACAGTTTATATAAAAATGATCGATGCACATGGTAAAATAATGTTTACCTGAAAGTGTCCTAATAATAATTCAAATAAAAATAAATATCTCGAAGAGGAAAATCTTACATGTTTTCTGAAACAATACATCTAACATACATATTTAATAATATTCAATCTTATTTAATGAACATAGCAGTGAATAACAATAGTAAAACCACAACACTATTAACTTCATTATTTTATGTAGATTATAAAATGTAGATATATAACTTTACATACAGTCACCAGCAAAAGCATTCGAATGTTACACATACCCGGACACAATAAATGTTCCTATAAATAATCTATTTGTATACTGGTAAATATGTTTAAAATTGTATCGCATGCGTATATCACAAATGCAACTTGTTTCAATAAATAGCAATATTTGGTGTACAATTTTTTAAATAATAGTTTGTTTTTACATTCTTGTTGAAATACTTTCGTTGGTGACTGTATATATCGAATGCACAAGTAACTAAATTTAAAATTCTCATCTTATTGTACAAAATCTTTATCAAAAGGATGACGAAGAGAGATTTTAATATA